CCAGACCCCTCACCAGCTTTGTCGCCCTTCTCTGGACCCGCTCCAGCCCCTCAATGTCTTTTTTATGGTGGGGGGCCCAAAACTGGACACAGGACTTGCCCACTTTTCCCACTGCCTGCTCTTTTCCCTCCAGCAGGTTCCCAGCAGCCCTGTGGCAAATGAGAAGAAGGGGCTGGGAGCCCTCACCTTCCTCGTTGCCCGGCTTGTACTGCTGCCAGATGCGGACCGTCTTGTCGTCGCTGCAGGAAGCCAAGCGTTGGCCGCTGCGGTCGAAGGCCACGCTCCAGACGGTGGACTGGTGGCCCTCCAAGGTGGCACAGCACACCCAGTCGTCCTCCTCCTCCCGGTACAGCTTCACCGTGTCGTCGTAGCTGGCCGAGGCCAGGAGCTGAGGGAGGGAGGGTGGGCTTGAAGAGTCAAGGGGGGGGGACCTGCACCCCCGAAACTGCCCTTCACCCATGTTTTGAGGTTGGTGGAGGTGGAAGAACCCCCCCCATCGCCGCCCCCCACCTTTCCCCAGGCTCTCACCTCCTGGTTGGGGTGCCAAACGACGTGCTTGACGTCCTGCGTGTGGGAGTTGAGGACGCTGACGCACTCGTACTCCTCCTCCTCATCCACTGCGGGGAGAAAATCATGGAATTGCAGGATGGTTTGGGTCGGAAGGAACCTTAAAGATCATCTCCTTCCACCCCCCTGCCCTGGGATGGACACCTCCCACCAGCCCAGGTTGCTCCAAGCCCCCTCCAACCTTGGCCTTGAACCCCTCCAGGGATGGGGCTTCTCCGGGCAACCTGTTCCAGGCTCTCACCACCCTCATGGTGAAGAGTTTCCTCCCCAAATCTCATCTCCCATCTCCTAATTTTTGGCTTCAAACTCTTTCTTCTCCTCCTGGGGCTCCCCTCCCCAAACACCATCCCTGGAGGGATCTCAAAGCCGGTGCTGAGGGCCGTGGGGCAGTGCTGGGTTGATGGTTGGGCTTGGTGAACTTCAAGGTCCCCTCCAAGCCAGGGAAGTGGTGGAATCACCAGGGCATCACAGGATGGTTTGGGTTGGAAGGGGCCTTCAAGATCATCCAGTTCCACCCCTTCTAGTGGCTGGGACATCTTTGATGAGACCAGGTTGCTCCAAGCCCCCTCCAACCTGCCCTTGAACCCCTCCAGGGATGGGGCAGCCACAGCTTCTCGGGGCAACCTGGGCCAGGCTCTCACCACCCTCATGGTGAAGAATTTCCTCCCCAAAATCTCATCTCCATCTCCTAATTTTTGGTTTCAAACCCTTCCTTCTCCTCTTGGGGCTCCCCTCCCTCATCCAGAGTCCCTCCCCATCTCTCCTGGAGCCCCTTGAGGGACTGGAAGGGGCTCCAAGGTCTCCCTGGAACCTTCTTTTCTCCAGGCTGAACCCCCCAACTCTCTCAGCCCCCCCTCCCAGCAGAGGGGCTCCAGCCCTCCCACCGTCAATGAGAGAAGGAGGCAGGGGGGCTGTCCCCCCACCTTTCCCAGCCCCGGGGTGGGGGGTGGGGCTTCTCCCCATCTCTCCCCCATCTCCCCCCCATCTCTCCCCCTCACCTTCCCAGACCCAGACGCTCTTGTCCCGGCTGCAGGTGGCCAGGAGGGTGCCGGAGGGTGCCCAGGCCACTGATTTCACCTCGTTTTCATGCCCCTCCAAAGTGGTGACGCACTGGGGAGGGGAGAAGAGGATGAGGAGGGGAGGGGTTGGTTTGGAGGGGAGGACGGGGGGCTGGGAGAGGGGGGATCTCATAGAATCATAGAGTTGCCCAGACCAGAAGGGACCTCCAAAGGCCATCCAGTCCGACCCCCCCGCAGTCAGCAGGGACACCCCCACCTAGACCAGGTTGCCCAGGGCCTCGTCGAGCCTCTC